AAAAAAGTTTGATGTTGGTTGCGTGTGTTTTTTATGAATCGTATTAATTACAAAATATCTTATTAATGCATGATTAAAAAAAATTAATACAAATAATATAAGAAAATACATATGAATGAGTTTTTAATAAAAATATAATTTAAATAATAATATTTACATGTAATAAATAATAAAAATATGGTAAATAATACTAATAATAATAATTATAAAAGAAATAAATAACTATAATAATAATAAATAAAAAATAATATATAAATAATATGATATAAAAGAAATAAAAAAAGAGTTTGCTCAAATCTGGGGGAGGTGCATTTTCTAATTGCTAAGTAAACATGGGAGTGCTAAAAGTTATGCTGTGTTAGGCCCAAGTAAGTCGCTGGACAGGGGGTGTTGTTTGTTTGATAGTTTAGTAAAGCAAAGGAATGGTGGTGTAGAAAACACTGGGCTTAGGCCCATTACACAAATTGGGAGGACCTGGTGATTGAGTGTGGGGCGGGAGTATGGGTTAACGTGTGACTTGGCCTAATGGCTGTCAGATTGCAATCAAATGAATGCTAACGAGGGACCATGATTGTTACCGTAGGCGCGTGTGTATGTTAGCGGGACGGATCACATAACTGGCCTTTTTCGTTTTTTCATTCACTATTATTTTGTTTTTGTTACATCAACTCAACCTTTTTTCCTCTCTTCCACGCGTAGCCCACAACCCCTCTTCTTCTCCCCACAAAACTAACAAACCCTAGATCTTCAAACCCTTATCCTCACCATGGCGGCCCAACCGAACCTACCGTATTTCAAAACAACCACAACAACCCACAAACAAAATAAAAAAAAACAAGCTAAGTTGGTTTACCCCTTTTACGATTTCGTTACCGATTTCGAGTTCGTCTGATCGTTTAATTCCTTCTTCCATCTTTTCCTTCACAAGTCACTAAAGGTGGTGGAGGGGTGGAGCAACGATGGAGATGATGATATCAACGACAAAGATGGTGATTAGGATTTCGAATATCGAAACCCCAATCGCTTCAACCTTCTTGTCCGCGGTGATGTTCTTCCTCCCTATTTGTATCCTTCTTTTCTTTACGGTATCAAGCCTCTCGTCTCTGTATTGAAATTTTGTCCGCCTCTCTATTCGTCCAGTAATCGTCCCCTTTGCTTTATTGTATTTTTTTTGTATTATCTTTCTCTTCCCTTAATCTGTAATTTTCTGTAACTTCTTCCCCCCTTTCGTTACTGTTATCTTTTGATTTTATAACAATTAAGTTTTAGCAATTTAGTAAATTAAGTTAATTAGGTTTTCAGTTTAGGAATTTCTTCAAATGTAGTTGATTAGGTTTTCTTTTTAGGAATTAATTGAGATTTTTGTTTATAATTTTATTGAATTCTGATTTTGTGTTTTGAAATTGTTTCCAGATTTGTAAAAGAACTGTCTTCTACAATTACTGTGTTCTGATTTTCGTTTAAGAAATGTTTTATGCAATTACTGTTGTCTGAATTATTGAACATGCTTTTTCTCTTCACCACGCGCGGATGATCTATACAGTAGACGTTAGTGGGCTTTTGATTTGGGCTAAGCGCTGTTCATTATCTTTGAAATAGCCATATGTTAAAAAAAGTGGGTTTGGACTTTGTTTGTTTGAAAACAACAATAATGTCCAAAAGACGGACCTGTGTGCTTTTGGGCCTGTAAATGATACATTTTCCTTTTGGGTTGGGAGATAACAATGGAAAGGAAGTCTTTTCTTTTGAATAACCAAACACAAAATTTAAACTCTTAATTAAACTGCTAATATAATGTATACTTATAAATATCATTAATAAAAATAATCAGCAATAATAATAAAAAAGAAGATAGACCCAATCAATTGGACTTTTTCTTATCAAAAATAAAAATTTATTTATTTACAAATTTTTTTATAACTCAATTAATATAATATTTTAAAATTAAAACGAAGGTTATTATAAATAAAAACAACAAGTTAATAAAAGTTTGTCTGAACCAAAAAATTTAAAAGGGCATAATTGTTTGGGCCTTTCATTCAATCAAATGTTTTAAAATAATGAATATAATTTCAAAAACAATATTAGTAAAAATAAATGACTATATTAATCGATAAATAGTCAGAAATTGACTTCCAATTATTTTGGTTAAAAAGTTGGGTCATCAGAAAATTTTGCTGGGCCTAAATGATCAACAATGCACAACCCTCTTTATAAATTTAAATGGACTAATGGGCCTTTACAACTAAATCAATATGGTCTAGCAAAATGACATAATGTTATTTGTTTTATTTATTTAAACAATCTTTTTAAATTATACCTAGCTCCTTCTACAAAGTGCACCTCTCTTAAAAAGAATGGACCTTTAATGGGCCATCAGATATTGATGGACCATCTTAGATCAATACACCCCTTTTCTGTTTTAAACCCCGCCCATAAAAAACTATATAATATGATCTATTAAAAACCCTAAGTGTAATATAAGGGTAGGACAAATTTGGGATATGACAGATACGTATGCCCCAATTCTAATGGAATTGAGATAATGAAAATTAACCTTTACAAATGTTGTTTACAAGAGAAAAAGTAGCAATCCAACCATCCAAATCCTATGTTTGATGTTGACCACGTCTTCTTCTCTTCCCTTGATCTTTAGCTCGATCAAGTAATCTAATACTTTCAATTTGATCCTTCAGTTATCGTTACTCTTTTGGCAAAAACTTTGTTTTTCAAAGATTTCACTCGGTTGAATAGAAATTACGAACTATTGTGACCCAAGATTACTAAAATGATCCTCCGGTTACCGTTACTATTTTGATAAAAACTTCTTTCTTCAAAGCTTTCACTCGGCTGAATCCAATTTGCGAAATCTTGTGAAAAACTCCCAAATCAACATTGATCTTGAAAGAAAACCCCAAATAGATTTATCTTGAAACCCCCAAAAAATTTCCAACCCAATTGATTACAACCAATCTAATAGGACCTTACCAAACTATCTCAAGATCACACAACAAAAATGATTATGTGTAGTTATTATATGTATGCAATGAGAGAGAATGAAGATGATGAAAAATTTTGTGTATACTTTTGGTTTCAAATCTTTTAGAAATGATGCATGAATGCCTTGATATGTGTGTAAAAGAAATAATAGAAAAAAATTAGGTTTGCAAAATTTTAATTTTAGACATTTTAAAAAGAGGGAGTCAACCCATTCGTGTAAGAAGTCGACTCATAGGAGTTGGGGAGTCGATCCATGCTGCGTGGGAGGTGAATCCAAATTGATAGAAAAAATTAAAGAAAAACATCTTCAGGAGGACCACAGCTCGAGGGAGTCGACCTATTCGTGTTGTGTGTCGACTCATACGATCCTAAGTAGGAACTCGACTCATAGGAGTTGGGAAGTCGATCCATGCTGCCTGGGAGTCGACTCCAAATTGATATAAAAAATTGAAGAAAAACAGCTTCAGGAAGACCACAGCTCGAGGGAGTCAACCTATTCGTGTTGTGTCGACTCATACAGCCCTAAGTATCAATTCAACTTTGACAAAGATTTTGATTCAAAATTTATTTTCAATGGGAGTCGACCGACAACTCGATGGAGTCGACTTATTTGTGTTGTGTGTCGATTCCAGATGCAAGGCTATCGACCCATTCGCAATAGAGAATTTTGTTTTTATTTTTCTTCAGAGTGAGTCGATTCTTAACATGGATGTTTCAACTCCTAACATAGTTTTTTTTATGAAAAATCATATTTTTGACATGTCCAAAAGCTTTTGTCTTGTTCTATGAATGTCCTAAGATGAGTATGCAACCCTATACATAGATAGAGAGAAAAAATTCAATGTATAAATGCTAATACTACCTAATTTTGACATCATTAAAAACATTTAAGAAGAAAATAATACACTCACGTATAATCATTTAAATATTTCTTAAAAGCTTAGTGTGAGCACATGCCCCCATACCCACCAACATAATTCCATTATTTAAAATTTTAAAATAAAAAATTCAAAAAATAATTTTTCTTTAATAAATGATTATGTTTAAGAAAAAATTATCTTCTAACATTTGGATATAATTTGAAATTTATAAATAATATATCAAATCAATAATTTTGATTCATCTTGATTTAGAGTAATTTAAAGTAATTTAAAATGGTTCAATTTAAATTAACTTTAAATATGCTTTAGTTCAGCTTGATTTTCTAAAGAAAAAAAGCATACCATATACCGTCATAAATACCATAATACTTCAATTACTTGTCCATTTTTTCCAACTAGATTGTGTTTGATAGCAAAACTATTGAAGGAGTCACTCTTTAGTAAGAAAAGTTGGCTAAAGTTGCTCTTACTATTTTCTTAGTTGAGTTTATGTACAAAGTTAAATTTCTCAATAGCAGAGTTGTGTCATTTATACCTTTCCTCACCTTGTTGTAACTCAAAGAAATAGAAAATGCTAAAATTTAGAAAAAGACATAATATATTCGTCCAAAAGTCTCCAACCATTGATCTAATACCTAAACAATGTTACCATGATTCACGAATGAAATAGAAATCCCCCATACGACAAATACGTCCTTGAGAAATTTTTGGCTTTTGCCTAACCAATGAAACGCCAAATTCATGTGTGTCGTCGTTCACTTATTCTCCCAAAGTAAGTGCCAGAAAGGATAGCCACATTTATTACCACTATAACACCTCTTTGTCTGTCTCTTTGTCTTCATTCGGAAATAACACCAATTGCTCCTTCCTTACCTCCCCTTTCGGCAACTCAGCCCCCCACCACCATAACCTATCTTCTTATTCCACCCACACATAAAAATCTCATGTTCCCAAATTCAATATTATTAATTTAAAATTAAAATACAACCCTTCAACAGTCTTATACATACTAATTGCCAGAATTAAAAACCAGATCTGGTAACAAATAGCACAAATTACAAAAACATAGGAAAAAACAACAACAATCAACATAGGAATAAAGGATTGAATCCTTAAATTTCATAGGTTTCTGTTATTGAAATTCATCTTCTCATAATAACGAATAGAGAGAAGAGAAAGAGAAAGATGAACCTCGTCTTTCCCTAAACGAGGTAACGGTTTCGACCGAATCACCTGTGGTATTGGACCCCAAGACGAGGAACACGATGACGATGATGTCTGAGGCTTTGAAAGAGGCAAAAGATAAAGAGAATGAAGACGACGAAACCCACCAAGAGCAAGAACCACAGATCGCAACTGTTGTTCGCCGCAACCCGTGTTTGCCCACTGTTTCGTACAGATCAGCTCCCAGAGTCTCTCATCTTGCACCGTTTTGTGCCACTGTTTGTTCACACAACCAGCCATAGCTAACGTTTTCGCGTCCACGTGTTTCAGAACCTCAAACAACATGTTCTCATCGAAACTCACCAACCCACGATTCTTGTTACAAACCTCGTTATCAATTTCTGTCTCCTTCACCTTCTTCATCTTTCTCTCCTCGCTCGTTGCTGATGAAACTGAAACTGAAAGTGAACGTTTCATTTTAACGGTTGAAATTGAAATTGGTGTTTCGCTTTTCACGAGAAAGATGGAAGACTAGTGAATGGAGAAGAAGATGATGAAAGGGGTGTGAATAGAACAAAGGGAGGGTTGGTTTAAGTAATAACGGTGTGTGAGATGAAAATTGGGAGAGGGGAATGGGGCAGGTGAAGTAAAGGTGAAGGATAGGGGGTGCACCTGTTTTTGAAGTTTTTCGAACACGACAAAGACAGAAATGAATGCGTTTCGATTCTTTTTTTGGTTGATTGACGATTTTGTCCTTATCTCTCTGGCATTGTGTTTATGGTATTATTCCACTTCTTTTTTATTCTTGATTCTTGCTACCGGGGAATGGGAATTGTCGGTAATTTCCACCGGCACCGTTCAACAACTGCTCATTGTCTTTTACTCCACTCTCAAACAAAATTAATTAATTGCGATAAATAATTGTTTTAGAATCTACCTTGTCGAGTAATAAACTAAGTCAACTTAAATAATTGAAATTCCACTCACCGTTATTATTTTTTACAAAACTAGTAAAATGTCTTCTAACGGATAACTTAAAATCGATATTGTGATTAATCAACTTAATAATTAGGTGAACTCATTGTATAAATAAGATAAATTCAGAAATAAATTGTAAAAGAGTTATTTAAAAAGGAAATTGTATATTTGATTGACAAAATTTTCTCCTATGATCTCCTTAACAATTTAATTCAAATGATATTTCAGTCCACTATCATTCTTCACAGAATATATAAAAAAATTTATCAACTTCGTCAACACCATTCAAGAAAAGACTCTTAAACCACAGAAGAAAATCCCTGTAGTTTGTTTTCATGAAATGAATTCTTCAACAAATTTCAAAATTCCAGCCCTCTAATGGCAATCCTTCATGTGTACATATTATAGGCTGGAAATGGCATTGTTATAACAGTGCAACCAATATATTTATATGATCAAATTACAATACCCTTCAAATAGATCTTAGTTTTTTCATAAAGTTAGTTTCATCATATATGTTTATGAAGATACTATAATTTACCATGAAAACCAAAATTACATTATTCTATTATGAGCTCTCAATGTTAAACTGCCATTCTCGACAACACATTCGGCAATGTGCCTGTCAGGTTTGAGAATTCATCTATTTCAAAATACTGTGAAAATGATATGTGTGATTGAATGTATCCTAAAATACAAATAGTAAAAAAAAAAGAGTTAGACTGTTAATATGAATAATGGAATAATCATCTTATTTGATCTGTCGGGGATTTAATGACCGCAAATATGAAAATGTAGAAACATAAAGAAATACAAATTATCCATATATTGATGCAATATCAAGGTGATTTCATGGCTCATAATAGAATTGTCATCTTATTTCTCCCTTGAAAAACTCTCAAATATGCAACAATTGCTTCCAACTCTTTGAGCATAAAGCTATTTAATTAGCTAAGTGTTTTGGGCTGGGCATGCTCTTGGTCCAACTTCCAGTGAGGCCCAATCTAAGCGTGCCAACCTGCATCGCTGACCGGTATTATCCTCGAACACACCCCGATCATAAAGGCCTTGTCGACCAAGGCTATTTCCCTTTTGTGTTCGCGAGGATCATCCCTGACGAGCAGGCGCTCCTCCCGAACATCTTCCTCGTAGGACTGACTACCAACGTCTCCGGATATTGCGGAGTCTTCGTGGTTCCAGAAAGATCGCGTTCATATCCTCCTGACCTTGCGGAGGACATCATCTAGGTAGAGGGCCACGTGCGGGCCCCCACTACTCACGTAGAATCTGGCAGTCTCTATGTTGGGCCTATTTGATCAGTCCAATAAAGAGACCTTGGCCCAGCGCTGGGGGCTATAAATACTCTCTCTTCCGAGAGGGTCAGGTATTCAACACTTTCTAACTCTTACACTTGCTTGCTCATTCTGCAACTTACTTTGCCATCAGGGTGTCTTGCAGGTACCCCCCTCCCCCATCTCATTCAACTTCTGCCCGAGCTAGCTGTCACGATCCATTCTGATTCGGTAAGATCAGTGACGCCGTCTGTGGGAAACTTATTTCCCCGTCTTCTGTTTACTCGAGACTAAAGCTAAACAATCCCCGACTGTCATGGATGACCAGACTACGGAAAACATGAACGTCCATATCGTCGATGTCAACAACAACATTGCCGATAATAATGTCGGCCTCAACAACACTTGTACCGCCGACCACAACACAACCTCCGCCATTAATATGTCTGGACCTTCTGACTATAGAGACGGAGAAACTGTTTCATCATCATCAATGCCTCCACGACTCGAAGACGATCGGCCACCTCCCCAGAACTATCCACCCATTCAGTTCCATGAGGTCCCCGTTCCCGCCGGAGCAGACACCACGATCAGGATACTGTTTGCGGTGATAAATCAGACCAACTACCTGATCTTCGCTCAAGGAGAAAGATTGAGGGCGCTCGAAGATGCTCGGAGAGCCCCCAGAAGACACAGGAGACCTCATCCTCCTCCTCCTCGACAAGTAGAGGAACATCCCCAATCTCCCCTGCAGAGACGTAGTCGAGACATCTCTAGAAGCCCTTCTCCCCAACCAATCGAGCGACACCCCGCATTAGAAAGGGACCAGCCCGTTGACACGGGGAGACGCGGTCATGACCCCTCGCGTCAAGAACGAAGACCTCATGGAGACAGAAATGGGGGAAACAACGAGCGACCATACCGTCCGAGGAACGCTCCACGCGACCAGGGCCACTATAACCGCCACGACATCAGATCCCTGTTTCGCTCGCCCGACAGGAGTGAAGAGGACGACCCCCATGGTCCTTTGTCACAAGCCATTATGGAGGCACCCATTCCCCCAGACATGGATAAGCCTCCCCACCTGAAGGAATACGACGGCATCGCCGACCCAGTCGACCATATAGACGGATTCGAGGCCATGCTACACTATCACAATGTCGAGGGACCAATCAAATGTTGGTTGTTCTCCACGACTTTAAGGAAAGCTGCGATGGACTGGTACAAGAGTCTTGCCCCCGGGTCAATTACCTCCTGGTGAAATCTAAAGAACCAATTCATCAGTTCATTCACTGCTTCACGACGCCACCCAAAGACCGAAGCAGCCCTCGAGGCTATCGTCCAGAGACACGATGAGACCTTGAGGGAATTTATTGATCGGTTCAACCGGGAGGCCATCCAGGTCCCCTGTACCGATCACATGAAGAGATACCTGCTCGAGAGGGGACTCATCCCGGACACGAAATTCAGAAAGGCCGTTGGCATCGAACCGCCCAGACATTTGATGCCCTCCTCGAGAAATCCAAAGCCTACATGGACTACGAGGAGAGGGAGGCGGCCAACAGAGCCCGGGACCCCAGGGATCGCGGATCAACCAGCAATCCGCGACAAGACACCGGCCCTCCTTGAAGAACTGGTGAGAAGAGAAGGGACAATAAACCCCGAGATCCTCGCGAGCAGAGAGGACCCTCGGGGAGGTTCACTGAGTACACTCCGCTAACTGCTTCCCACAAGCACATTTTAGCGGAGTGTGCAAACACATATTTCAAAGACGGTGACGTCAAGCGTCCTCGCCCCGCTCCTGCTAAACTCGGGGCAGATCGGAGCAAATACTGCCAGTATCACCGGAGCCATGGATACTTGACTGAAGATTGTGTCCATCTCAAGGACGCTTTCGAGACCATCATAAAAGGGGGGAGACTCTGGCAGTATCAGCACGGCGACGCCCCCCGTCGAGATACCCAAGAAACAAGGGAGATAGTGGAGGTTGCCCGATCATATGACGAGACGGTCCCCATCAAAACTGCATTCTCCGTCACGAGACCGGAGGACTTCTATGTCCCCGAACAAATGCAAGAGCCTCTATCCATGCACAGTAGGTGAGAGAACTTCCCCTCTGCCATGGTCATAAATGGTGGAGGGTTTAATGATTTAACTATTAATTCAGAAAAAGAAAGTTGGACGAGCTGGTCGACACGGCCCCTCTGCAAACTGTAACTTTCTAGAGGATTAAAGGCAGATCAAAGTCGATCACCTTTTACCTCGAGCAATTTCCCGGGAGGTGGGGGGGCCAATTCAGCCATCCCTCTTCTAATCAGGGAAAGAATGGCCAACTTTGACGTACATCGCATCCTGGTCGACGAAGGAAGTTTCATCGACGTGATGTACAACCAGCTTTTCAGAACCCTGCAACTCAACGACTCCCACCTTTCACCATATGTGGGATCCGACTTGCAAGGCTTTAATGGATCGACCTCCAAGCCATGGGGGTACGTGGAGCTAATGGTCACCTTCGGCGAGGACACTGCTATCAAGCAAGTCAAGGTGAGTTTCCTGGTCATCGATTGCCCCTCCCTTTACAACTGCATCCTTGGGAGGCCGACATTGGCAGAGCTAACCGCGGTGCCTTCCACCATCCACTTGAAGATGAAGTTTTACACAAAGAGGGCACGAGTCACCACCATCCAAAGTGACCTAGCAGCTACCCGAAGATGCTTCAACGTGGAGGCCAAGTTACACAACATAGTTGACACCGGAGCACGTCCCGCCAAGAAAGCTACAACAACATGACCAGAGCCTCAGCAGTCAGAGCCACAGCCCACCAAGGCAGAAATGCAGATGGCTCCTCCAAAGGTCGACTCGATCTCGTTGGACACTCGCTTCGACCAAGACGAATCTTCTAATGGTGAGCAGGAGCTTCTTCGGCCAATTCCGAATGGGGACTTAGAGCTCGTGCCTCTCGGCGAAGACTCGAACAAAAGGGTGAAGATTGGTATCGGACTCCCCGACCTGGCGAGGAAGAAGATCAAGGCCTTCCTAAGGGAGAATGCAGATCTTTTCGCATGGAGCGTTGCGGAGATGCTCGATCTAGGCCCTGAGGTCGTCTGTCATCAACTCGCTATTGATCCAGCCGCTAGGGCAGTAGTACAACGTAGGCGTAGATAGTATCCCGAGAAAACGGAGGCTGCTGAAAAAGCTGTAAAAGAC